ATTTTTTGCATTCGTGTGTTGAAACACTAAATAATGTAAGATTTATTTAAATTTGATTGGGTTTCTTCTCAACTTTAGCTGCTTTGAAATAATACAAAAATAGAAGAAAATAAAAAAGACTTTTTATTATTTTGTTCCCACTTCAACCATCTTACCCTTCTTACTTCAATGTCTATACTAAAATAAAACTTATTATTATTTTAATCATCTAGAACAAAAAATATATCATTAATTTGTCCAAAAATATATTTAAAAACATATTATATAAATGTATTAAAAACATTTAAAAAGTTGAATAAAAACTTTTACTTATTATTGGTACGAAAAAAAAGAGTCTTAAACAATTAGAATTGTCAATAAAATGATTAATGTAAGAATTCGATTATTTTCGAAAAAAGATTTAATAATCATCCGAAGTTTGACTTCGCACTTCTTCTTCAACGTGCAGTTTACGTGCTAATATAAAACCAACTACAGCCGTAAAAATCTAAAAATACGATTTAATATTTATTAATACCAAATTGAAATTAATCCGTACTGAAACAGCCCATAAAATCATTCCAGCAATCATTAACTCCTCGGAATTTAAACGAAAACTGGCGCTAAATATTTCAAAACAGCCATCACCGGTTAATTCAACTGGAATTCCGCTAGTTTCACTAACATTTTGCATGCATATGTATCTCGTTTCGGGATGATTCAAAATTATACTATAACAACAACTTAATGGAACATTACCTCGGTGTTTTATCCAATCTTCATAACCATCAACACCACAACATTTATTCTAGTAGAAAGAAAGATTTGTTTATAATAATATTAAAAAAAACAGTTAAATTGATTTATTTTTATATTACCCTAACTTGCAGAGTATCCCAACACGCTTTATCACGCGGCTCAATATCATAATATTCTAACATCCGGTACATTTCATCGCGAAGATTTAACCACAATTGTTCTCGAAAAATATAGGATAACGTTGTACTTACAGCGAGGGTTACACTCAAAACTATTAGGGATGATGAAAACTATAATTGCATTTTTTTAATGAAAAGAATTAAATCAATGGTAAATATTACAATTAAAATTGATATTCGAGACTCCATTGCTATTCCATAAACACCAATCACACAAATAATGGCTAAAAGTATTCCAGCTGAAATCAAAACCGCCGACATTGGAGATTTGTAAGTTGGCTTTGCTGTACAACCAACTCCCAATGCAACACCACCGAGAACAATCAAAAGTAACGCTGCTATCTATTATCAAACAAATAAGTGTTTTTAATATTCTTTTATATTTGTGTGTTGTCGTAAATTGAGAATTAAAAGTAAAAGGGAACAATAAAAAAGTACAACGTTTATACAGCTAAGAAACACAAATGTATGGAAAGAGTTAAAATGAGACAACACATTCTGTTAATAAATAGCTTAATCAAAAACATTATATTTAGCCGAGACAACTGTTAAAGCTTCCTTCAATTATGAAATAGATTTGATGATTTCTTTAAATTGGATTCCAAATAATTTCCAAATAAAGAATTATGAGGATCTAGATGTTCATTGAAGGTTAGTAAACTATGTTTCTTATTGCACAAATAGCCAGCAATCTTTCACCAAATCAGACTGTATCAAATGCAATGGAAAAACATTCCCATTTTACAAACGGTCATTAATAGAATAATAAATGTGGTTGGGTTGGACGCAGAATTGACCTTAGTTGTAAATTGATGGCTTCTCTCCCCAACTTGTTTATATGTATCTGTTGATTTTTAATCTACCCTTTGATACGATAAACATGGATTGAACATAACCTGCAATAAATAAAAAGAAAGAGAATTGGAGGAGAACTGGAAGAGAGATCACAAAGATGTCGTATTAATACATAAAAATGAATACTTTTGCTGATATAAATCCATTTCAACGAGCCATAAACTCAAGGAATTCATCGCTTTGTTCGGAACTGCTTCTCAATTGCCACCAAAGTTCTTGGCAGAAGTTTCAAATATTGCTAAAATATCAATATTAATTTAATTTCTGACAACATGTAGTGTACCCTTTTTTGTAAATAAGATGATTTGCGTTTTATTAGAATTAATCAGTACAAACACAATGCTAATTAACCAACATTAATGTTGGTTTTTATGAACACCTAGTTGTTGTATCTGTACAACTACTTTACTGCACACTTCCGATAACTCAGTAGCTTGTAGTGACAGAAAGCTATAATAGCTACAAGCTACAACAAAATCTTGATTTAATATGTTGGTAAAGTTGAAGATAACTTAGATCGTTGACCTTCCGTCCACAAGAGATCTAAAGATATCATCAGTTACATCAAACAGTGTTCAATAATAACTCTCTGATATACAAATTGAGACCTTGTATGTCTAAGCACTATACGAGAATCATATATTTCAGAGAGATACTTCACAGTAAAGCAGGAAGAAGTTTACACAGATCTAAGTTAGATCAAAACTGAAGTGCCACAAGGGAGCGTATTAGATCCGGTCCTGTACCTTTTATATACATTGTTAGAACAAGACTGTGTTGCCACGTTTGCAGATAACACAGCCATTTTAGCGAAGCAGCGACTGACAAGCTGCAAATATTAGTAAATAAAATACATTCATTGGCCAAAGAATGGTCAATAAATTTAACAATACGCCTACGTTAACTTTATAAATGAAAGAACAGAAAATTAGCGAGTCATAATAAATGATGTCCATGTTCCTTATGCAACATCAGCAAAGTACGCGAAAATGCGCTGGATAGTCCAAAGAAAGCTGCTATTGGATATAAAAAATTGTATTGATTGGTTGGAAGAAATTCTACATTAACAATAAACTATTAATCAACAAACAAATACTGTGACTAGTATGGCTATATGGGTACCAACTCTGGGACTGTGCCAAAATTACAAATATAAACATCATTCAGAGATTCCAAAACAAAGTATTGAGGAACATCATCGATGCTTCATGGTGCATACGCAGCAGTAATCTCTATCACGACCTGGTTATGGAAACTATAATTGAAATAATTAAGAAGACAGCAGCAAGTCATGAATAGAGACTGCATAGTCATGTGAACATTGAGGCAATCTAGTTTTCGATAACACTCGATTAAAGAGAATACTCAAAAGGACAAAACAATTTGAATTAGTGTAAATGTGTAACAGTCGGTAGCAAGGCCATCCCAAGCAAGTCTCATAACAGATCACTAAATGCAGAATACAACGCCCCAACACACTAGCTAGTTTAACAAATCGGAAAATCGTCGATTCCGTTGCTATGAAATGTAACCCAAAAATCTGGAAGATTAATAAGTTCCTAACCTAGAAACTCTGCTCCACTGAGAATACCATCCCAAAGAACAATAATAGAATAAACGCTGACAAGACAACATAAACCAAGCCTTTGCACTCAACACAAACTAACCGATCTTAATAAAACACAATGATTCCTGTTAATAACGTCTTTAAATAAATCTGTTGACAGCGTGCAGCGCGAAGATAGGCGACATCGACGATTCATCCCAAACAATCAACGTGAGTCGATTGATCGATGGCAAATCTTGATATGGAATCTTCGTTTATCTAAATCAAAATGGGCAACTTGAAAGCTCTGGAACTACTCTTCGATTGATTGATATGAGGAGTCGGCCGGAAACCAACTCATGTATTTTTTGTTCATAGTCTCTTTGATAGGAGAGTGATAGGAAAATATGTATACCAATTGTTAAGATAGATACGATTTGGATTATCTGCCCTGCATCCCCAAAGCTTGTTTTTGCTATTTAAGTGTTCTATCTGTTTCTCACTTGCATATAACACGCCTTTTCACTCGTATCATCTTCAATTTGTACATTGGCAGCACGTGCTTTGCAAACAAGTATATCATGTTTAACTAAAACTGTCTTACATCTTGCTCCAGATCTAAACGGTCACTATTTATATGTTCTAATCAGTTCTAACAGTCACGTAATGCCAACCTAACGGTGATATTTCATTTAAAGTATCCAAAAACCATTATTGCCACCAACTCAATACATCAATCTACAATACAGTTGTTAATTTATAAGAAGAAAATTAGAAGAAAAGTTTTGAAATCTTGTAAATACCATTTGTTAGTTAAAGTAAGACTACATCACAATTAGGGTATGATAAACCTTCTGCTTACTTACTTTAACTCTGACTTGTCAAAATGGTTGCATATACACAAATTTGTCTCAGTCATTGTAGATACAGAATTAAGATTAAATTATTGTTCTCTTTTACATTTACATCATACTTTTTGTACGCATTCATGAAACTATAATAACATTAAGACCATTAAAAATATTTATAACTTACCATATTAAACGTATTTAATCCGTTTAACGTTCTAAATAAACAAATGTTTGATGGCATAAATATTTAAAATTGTAATTGATTACTTGTAATCTTTTTAAATAATTTTAAAAATTTTAAATGACGCTGCCAAAAAAAATGAATTGTCATTTTATTTGATTGATGTTTCATATTTGAGGCATGGGGACCCTCCAAGTTTGATAATATTCTTAATCAATTAATAACATATACATATACATATGTTATCTGATTCGTGAATATATCATTTATTTAAATATAATTGAACATCTTCAAAGGCATCTGCAGTAATATTAACAATAACCCAAGTATTATTTATAGCTTGTTTAGGTTGTGTTGGATTTTATAGATTACCCAAAAAGATTGGACCAAGAATGCGTATAAAGTTCAAGAAAGATATTATTTACTACACGGAAATACGGGCAGTAACATATTGTGCGAAGCGTTTCAAAACGATAATAAATTCCTGCACGATTCCGGTTTTTTTCATGAAATCTTTAAACTTGTTGAATTAGAAAGAAATGTTATATTTTATTACGCATTCGTTTTAACAGCAATTAAAGTATTTTGCTAAAACAATAGTGTTTTATATTCGCTATGAGAATTTGAAATAAAAATCTTTATTTATTCGTTATCGGGTTTATTTTATTGTTAAGATTCACTCTGCATCTTTTACATAAAAAGCTATGCAACATCCAATTGCTATTGAAATTATCTAAAATGATGAAATTTATTATTAAAAAACTTAAAAGGGTTTAGTCAATTTCTTTTTACCTTTAAACAACACATTATAAGTCCTGTAGCAATAATAAAAACACTAGCCTTTTCAACACTGCGGTGATACGTGTAAAAACAACCACTTTCGTGTAAATATGTCCGATTATTAGGCGCGTTTTGACACAAATCATTTTCTTTAGCTATTTCATTAGGATTCGTTAGTTCATAACAACAAGATACAGGAACTGGTAATCCTTTCTTTTGCCAATCATCATAACCATCGATACCACAACATTTATGCTATAGAAATGATTAAAAAAATGATTAATTTTTATTATAAGTTAAAAAAAGCTTTTTACTCGTTTATGCAATGAGTCCCAAAGTCTTCTATACTTCTCACTAGAAGCATAATCAGCGATTCCTTTATCCAGATGTTCCCTCACGGTCGGATCTGAATGCAATTTCAGACAAATAGCTACAACTACAGCCCCGATATCTAAAAGAGCTGATAACAACACACCCACAGAAAACTAAAAGGAAATAAATTGTAAGAAGATAGTAAGTTTGATTTTTTAAGAAAACTTACAAGCATTAAAAGTAGAAATGAATCACGGATTGAACCGCAACATCCCAATATAACAATAACAATTAATATCGATCCGGACACAATGACGATAATCGAAGCGGTGTAATCTTGCCAATCAAAGCCTACAGCTATGGTATAAGAACCAATTACAATTAAAACAACTCCAAAAACCTAAAAAGAAGTGATTGAGAATTTTATTCTAAATTGAAGAGCAATCTGTTTTTACCACGTTTACAATATTTAAAACGCACAATATAAGTTTTAATAAGTTTGCAGTTTTGGGACCCATTTTTTGATTGATTTGACTTTTTCTTTTCTGTCAATATCAGTCAATGTACAGTTTGCATCAACAATACTATTGATCAATGATACGGAATAATTACAGATTTCACTGTTACTTTTTTAAATTTAAATGCAATATCTGTCGCTGGCATTAATCTCATATTTTGTAAATTATAAGTTAACATAGAGTTAGAACCAAATTGGAATTAGCACAGACTAACTGGATAATTCAATATTTTTAATGCATATTGGAAGTTAAATAACTCACAAACCTTGTAATTGCAATAAATTCGTTCAGATACTTTTATTCACTGTTGATAAATTTATTTTCTAAAGCATTCCACTTGTTCCTGAGAATACAAATTAACGTTTTATACGCTTTGTTATAAAAATCTCTGATTCTTTCCCACTTCCAATATCAACTAATCTACAATTCCACTATCATGGAATAAAGCTTCTACTTTGTCATAAAATTAACTTTCCACAGCTAACTTTTCTTTTCGTGCTTTCCTATCATCTCTAAACAGAGACTTATTGCATCGCCACTGTAGATTAGATGTTCGTTCAGTTTCTCACTGTATAATTGCAGTATCATATAATGAAAAGACTAAATATTACTACTATGAAAGACTACACAGTAATCGAGAGATAAAAACGACTTATAGAAGACTAAATATTGCTTGCGGACGACTACCAATTGTTTGCAAAAGACCGTATACTGCTCGCAGAAGTCTAGATATTGTTGACAGAAGACTGGACACTATCAATCAAGGAGTAGGTCTTTCTTTGAGAAGACTAGACACTACTGGCAGAATATTAAATACTGCTGATAGCATACTAAATACTGCTTATGGGATACTAGTTACCTTTATAGAAGAATAGATGCCGCTCCAAGAAAACTGTCTGTAGAAGTTTAGATATTGCAATAACAATATTTATAATATTATATTTATTACTTCTTTGCCAATGCCCCAACACCAGACATGAAGTGAAATCACAGGCAACCAAATCTGCAGTAATATCTGATTCCTTACGGAACATCACATAGCGCAACAAACACATGACGGTAAAAAGCAAAGTAAGGGTCTATACAACCTGTGTAAGACCACTGAAACCACCAAACAAGTCATGAAAGCCACTGAGATGAGAACTCTAAGAACTGTTACAGGTTTAACCCTGCGTGACAGAGTAAGAAGTGAGAGGATCCGCGAGATATGTGAAGTACAGGATGTGGTCAGATGAACAAGATCGAGGAGAAGATACTGGAGGGATCATGTTGAAACGATGGATGATGAAATATTGGCGAAAAAAATCCAAACGCAGGAACCAGACACCAGACGACTCCCAGGAAGGCCACATAAACTCTGGCATGAGAGTTAGACGTCGCCATCACAAGATAACCCATAGAAACGGAAGTAGAAGAGAGAGGTCTCTCCTCTTCGAGAAGAGGAGAAATGGAAAAAATAAGAAGAGAGAAGAAAAAACTAGTCCTTAAAGTAATAAGAAGACTTCTTTGCCAATAACAATATCTAATGAATTCATTGTTTCTAAAATTCCACTATGTTCTTCTGACTTCAAAAAGAGAAACTATTGCGAATCAAACGGGCATTTCCACTTAACTATATCGTATTGACCAAGATTTAAGCTTTTGAATGAGACATTCGTCATCAAAATCGGTTGAGTGACAAAATTTAATCAGATCCAAAGTTGTGCATGATTATGTTGACACATTGTATGATTTCACAAGTTGTTGAATTTTCAAAATATCGGAAAATTAATATCATATGTATAGCTTTGTTGAAAGATCTCGTTTTTTAGTTAGCACAAAAGATAGAACACAAGTAGTGTGAAATCAAAAATAGTACTATCCATACCATCCACCTCCATTAAATGTGACCACGTGCAAAGTATTTTTGGTATACTGTAATTTTACTTAGAGCTTCACAGTTTCAATCGAGGTTCTGTTAATTGCTGCCGTTATCATAAAGTATGACTGCTTTTTGTTGCATAATCTTTTCTTAGTCATCAATACACAATTATGGATGAAAATTCAACTGAGGTTAAGTTCTCTTCTAATTCAAGCAAATCAAGAAATGTAATACTGTAAACTGCTAGTTTTGATTTGTACCTATAATAATAATAATAATACATGGTAGATACATTATTATTTGGTGATATGAACCTTAATCCTTTGCTTTTTCATCTCTCGCTTCCTCCATTTTCTCTAAGTGTAGTCTGTGGTATTTTTTTTATATCACATGTGCTTAAATTCTCTTCCTTTATCTTCAGTAAGCAATGATCCAAACCACAGCGCAGATCTAACTTCCAATAACTTTGTCATCAGTCTCAGCACCATCTTCAGTACAGTAACAGTTAGTAGGAAATGAATCATAAATGAAATTTGTAGCTGGAGCAGTTCAAAACTTGTGATAAATGTTTTTGGTGTAACAACGAAGATCTAGGGATTAGAACCAAAATAAAAACGCAAGTTAAAACCCAAGTTTTTGATCTCTACGCTCTTCACATTCAATATTAGAGAAACAGTAGTTCTCCATAACAATTAAAGAACGGTCTCGAGCTGTTGGGAGATACAAATAATTTGTAAAGCGAAATTAGTAGCAATACAATTTTTGTAGAGTTATGAGAATTGTTGTAGGCAAAGTTTTTTACAATTACCTAATGATGACATTGACTTTAAGAAAATAGTGGAATTTGGAGTTCATTTTGTGCAACTAATGATATAATATTAATTAGAATAGGATATTTGAAGATTGAACCCCAAAGGTAAATAAATAATAAACTTAAAAAATAAATAAAAAAAGTCATTAATGTACGAGGTATAACTGAAATTTTTTTATTCGTTTACCTTGTTTTTTTAAAGTACATAATAGGAGGGTGTAGCCGACATTTTTTGACAAGCTATCGTAAATACTGATAATTCATTGATCCATTTTATTTTATTATTTTCATTCTTCATCAGAGAATTAGTTTCAACATCTATAGTTTTTCCGGAAAGGCCTCAACGGGAGGATTTCGCTTAAAACTACAACATACATTTTTTTGTGGTTATCTATTTATTTTTTGTAACCTAAAGCCAAAGATTAAAAACGCACTATCCAATAATAAGATTTATAATTTTTTATAGCGAAATTCCCGCCCAAGCCCGTACAAATAACAATTTTTTACGTTTTTTTTTTTCATATTTTTTTTAATTTAATTAGTCCTTAATTCATGTTTGTAAAATCTACTTAAATACAGGGTGAAATTGATCTGTGTCTTTTATGTGAGTGATGATTCTTAAAAAATAATCCGAAGAAAACGAAAAAATGACGTAAAACATATTAGCGATTTTTACATTATTTTTTTTAATAATAATTATTGTTACACAAAAATTATTTACTATTTTTTTTTTAATAAATAGTTTTATAGCGCTCGAATGTACACTCCCACACTTTCTAAATACATATTATTACTTTTTTTTTAATTTCACGTAGGAAAGTATAAATAGATTGATATGTGCACACATTCTAGCTAAAATAATAAATAGACACTCTCAAAAATTAATAAGAAAAGTTTTATTCTGAAATTAGGCCGGGATATTAATAAATAAAAAAATCATTCCATCTATTTATATTAATTAAAAGAAACGAATAAATAAAGTTCACGAAGTTGTTCCACAAATACATATTATTTTTCATTTTTTTTTTATTTTATTTTTTATAATGTTTTTATTTCGTTCGTGGTGCGAAGATATAATTCCGAAAAATCGATAACAGTCTAAAAAATTTAACTATGATAATACCATATTTTTCTCTCATCTTTCTCTCGATATCTACAAATTGACAAAACAGAAAATTGACTAGTTCGCAAGTGATTCTCTATTTTTTTTATAAATAACGACTCGCTCTTTCTTTCTCTCATTTTGCTTCCTCATGTTTCAACGTTTAATCAGCCCGTTTATTTATTATTATTCTTGCTTTTTTTTTATTAATTATTATTAATTTCTTTTCTCTCTTTTCATCAATAATATCAATCGCCCTATCTATCTAAACATAGACGCAATAATATCAATGATAATACCGATAAATCGTACATATGTTTCGTAATATACAATACTTAGCCACAGAAATCTTTCTAAATCGTACGATATTTATTTTAATATATAATATATATATTTATTAGGCGTTCCTAGTTCTTTTTTAATTATAAATTATTATTTTATAATTATTAAATGATACAGTATTATGAAAGAAATCGTCGGTTTACAGTCTGTTTCATATTTAATGACTAAAAATAATAATTAAAAAAATGATTACAATAAAATAATATTAATTTAGGTGTTAATCTAACGTGATTTTTTTTTTGTTCAAGATTTATTTCGTTTAAATTTACAACTCACAAATATTGCTACCAAAGCTTTTTTTATTTCTTCAAATTTCACCATTATTTTGAAAGCAATCGTACGGCGTTTTTTAAAGATTTTTACGAATAATTCAATAATTTTATGCGAGTTAAGAGACATTCGTGTTTATGTTTTGCAATATTCAGAATGTTTTATTTATCAGATTCAGAAAAATTTAATAAAGAAACATAAATTATTGGCACCATTTCTATTTTGTCTTTCGATAATTATACAGGGTGATTCAGTTTTCTTATGGATTTTAATATTCGATATTTTGATATTATCGGAATTTAATAAATTCATCATTCTCTATTACATCTCACATTATTTATTTAGATCAAGAGGTTGAACTCTTTATTAAAAACATATAGTATTGAGCTTGGGAGAAAACTTGGGAAAATATAGATGCCATAATAAAAAATAGACTACCAAAGATTGCAAACCAGCACATAGTCGTCTGCATCACAAGAAATGCCGGCAGAACAGAATTGGTAAAACAATGCTCATTGCCTTCCGCAAAGAAGAAGAAGAAAGTATAGAAAGTTACTAAATACTTTAGTGACAGCAAAATTAACACTCATGTTACACAACGCTTCTAACATAAG